TTGGCTTTGGGGACCACCATACCCCTCTTTTACACTAGCCTGACTTAAATGAAATGTGACAACTTGAGAGAGGAAAGCCAGTTTAGGACTCACTTTTCTCTTAGTCCTTGGTTTAGGATTCTAAAAGTATAATGCTTCGCATCCAGGATTCTAACATGCAAGGTAGAAATATTGATTTGTTGGCTAAAGGACATCACAAGTAAATAGAATCTTTGTGATGAAACATTTGAGAACACCTCTCTAGGAAAGACTTCAGTGAAGAACAAAGAATATTATAATTAAGATTTTTAACTATAACCTTTCATATATTATTATAGTCTTTTAGGGAATGAGGCTGTTTAAAATAGTGCTAACTAATTATGAGTACTATAAATTAAGAGACTTCACACCATCTTTAAATAGTTTAAAACTGATTTTCACCTTCCGTCTCATAACCTAGATATTATGAGTTTTTCTTTACCTATCCTACATAAAAAGTTGAAATTTTCTAAGTTTATTTTGCTAACAGAAATTTGTTGTACTCATCTTCCTCATTAAGAAAGGCTTTAAATGAAATAAGTAGATTTTAGGAAAATGAATTAAGAAATATTTAACTATGGCCTTTCAGCATGAGACCCTAGCAGATCTGATCAACAGGAAATGAAAAGGAACAAAACTTGAATCAGGCCAACACTGCTTATTATTTCAGGAAACAAGTGGGGGCAGATGAGTAAATGTGACTAGAATAAGTTTTATCTGGTGAGTTCCCTTATAAATCAAACATTCTCACCAGCAAATGTAATTCAGAAATTGGCATGGAATTACACACGAGACTGGAGGCTTTGTAGAAGCAGAAAAAGATACTGTCTATGTGCTCTTGATTCTAGGAAAAATTGCTTTATTGGGATGAACTTTTTTCTTGATAACTAAAATATATTTACTGTAGACATTTCAGAAACTACAGATCAATACCTTGAGAATAATAGAAATCATATGTAATCACAGCACCCAAATATAAGCACTATTAACATTTGGTTTATTCTCCACCAATAAAATAGTTTCTGTATATAATCATTGCATTTTTTTTTTCAAAAGGACATTGTTGTGTAACATACTTTTTTCATTTCTCACATCATTACTATTTTTTATATCATTAAACATTCTCAATAACCTCACATATTTTGATTTGCTTTCCATGGTTGTTATGCGATATGTGAAAACATGGTAACTTACTGTATTGATGAGTATTATTCAACTGTTAGGAGGTGAACATCCCCCTTGCTCCCTAACCTTAGAAGAGTCAAGACTGTTTTTCTTTTGTGAATTGTCTATTTACATCTATTTTTCACTCGGGATCATTTTTTATAGGGGTGTTTCATCAATCTGTCACTGCTTTTAATATCTTTTGAAAAGGGCATGCTGGCATATGAAATACAGAGCTAAGAGTTTGTCTTTTAAATAATGATATTTCTTGGCAATATTTTTCAAAATGGTATTTTTGCAATTATATGCCTAATATATAGTAAGAGCTTAATAAATATTTATTGAGTAAATGATATTTTATATGTATTTATTTTTCAAAGTTATACTCTACACATTCAAGATAATATAGGATTAAATCTTGCTTTTTTTCATTCAATACATTGCAAAGATCTAGGTCATGAAAGTTTTAAAAAAATATTCTGGAAAATTAATTTTATCAATATAGAAATATAGCACATTAATTAATTTTAAAAAGCTTAATACTGTGAGCTTAATTTTGTTTTAATTTTTTTTCTATATCACAGATAACACTATAATAAACATATTTATAAAATCTTCCTATGGAATTCAAATGATTTCCTTAGGATATATTTCTAGACCCAGGATTACTGCGTCAAAAGCTACAAACATTTATGAGTTTTAGTACATAGCTCCACATTATTACCTCAAAGAATTGCATGAATACACTCTTCATCAAGCAGTACAAAAGAAGATTCCATTAAGGCGACAAATCTTTTACAAAACTAGCTCTACTAGTACTTTTTACTCTAACAGTGATACGGGTTTCATGAAAAGTATTATTTTTATGGCTAAATAAGTTCTGAAATGAAATAAATCCATCTAAGATAACAGGAAGGGAATAATGTCTTCAAGAGAATACACTCACAACAAAGCTCCTCTAAGTGATAAGTTGCTCAGCTGCTATAACTATTGACCAGGAATGATGATAGTATTCAACACACACATAATTGTTTCAAGATTTGATAAATCCGGTCTACTTTTCTCAAGCACTGACAAGCTTTAAATTTATCTTCACCAATGCATTGAGTTTTGAGAATTCCTCAGTGATCTTGCTTGTAGCATTTTCTTTGACTTTCCTTCATTAAAAAGACTACTTCCAACTCGATCAGACAATAAATAAGACATGTACTGAAGGTTTGAATATGTGGGCATTTTTTTTTACCTTCTAATTTTTAAAATTGATTCTAAGAAGTACATTTGTCTAATAATGAGTCATCTCTGTTCTATTATAAAATATAATCAAGTTCTGATAATTTCCTTCATTTTACTGACATCAAAATAAATGACATGCTATTCAATTTCTATTTAATCCCTAAATAACTGTTTAAAATGTATTGTTCTTGCTGTATAAAGGTCAAACGTTCCTGATATCCTGTTTTAGACTGCTTAGATTCTCCACCCATTTCATACAATTTAACAAATGTTAAAGTAACAATTACAAAATTATTTTCTAAACTCCCTAAAAACTTTTGAACGTTGTTGTTTTCCAACATATACAGATATCTCCCATTTGTCAAAAGTTTGCTTTACGCCACTTTGCTTTTACAAAAGACCTATTTCATATCTGTTTTTGTTAAACAAAAGTAAAGATTTTCACTTTTATGAAAAAAAGGCGAAAAGCAAAAATAGCACTGTTTGTTTTGTAGTAACCTATTATAGAGGCAAAGGCATCCCAGCAGGGAGAGTGGCCTAGCCACACCCCTTCCCCAGAAACCACACTCAGCATCTCAGCATCAAGCCACGTTACCTTTGAACTGAGTTTGTGAGCATCTGTGCTTTATCTCAATTTATTCTGTGCACCCATTAGCAAGATATAGTGTTAAAGCATCAGAAAAGCCTGAGAGCTCGTAAGAGTGTTATACTTAGTGTAAAACTGGATGTAATTAAAAGTATTTGGTATGATTTAGTAGTTATTTTTGGGGGTCTGGGAATGCTCAAAATTTTTCCCATATAAATTAATGGTAACTGCTTCTTTGCTTTATGCTTTATTTTGGCTTTACAGGAATACTTTACTTTTGGATAGTGGGAGAAACCTGTCTAGCTTTGACCTAAATAAAGAAGCAAGCTCAAAATAAAAAATAAAAATAAATAAAATAAATTTAAAAAAAGAAGAAGAGAGAGAAAGAGATGAATTTAATCGGGAATAACAGAGGAAATGCAATTTGGGACACACAAACTGTAGCAAGCTATAAGCAAATCTGCTGAGGGTCTGGGGTAGGCTGTATTTATGGGCAAGGAATATAAGTTGGGGAGAGTTCGGTTAGAATCTGTTAAAATCAAAACAAATGGAGACCAGCTTTGAAAACTCAAGCAGACAAAACCAGTCCCAGTCACATAAACAATTTAGCCCATTTTGTGAGCCCAATCTGGCCTGGGTCATTTCTTATTCACATCTCTGGAAACAGAGGTTTACAAGCTTATGGTTTATGAGGAAAACTGCCAAGTTTGATATGAGGTAACCTCTGATTAATTCCCTAATATTTAAGAAAATATCAATGTTATCAGTTTTCTGCAAATCAGGCATTTATTGAAAATCAGTTTCTCAGTCATTAGATTTTGTTTTCCTGAGGACACATGTGTGAGATTTTTCTTTTCTGTATCCTCTGGTTTCACTTTAGATTGAAATTCTTTCACAACAGTATGATCTCATTTTGATAAAAAAAAAAATCTCCACGTAGGTATGTAATATGTATTTGCAATGAGAATAGAAAAAAGTCCAGAAGGAACAGACATTATCTTTTGGGGTAGATTGTTGTAAGGGGCTCACACTGGGGCAGTGAATGAGCTTACTCTGTTACAATGATCATGTGTTACATATTTGCTCTAAACAAGCCAACAAAGATTTATGATGGTATTCTTCACAGAAATGCGACCTAGCCAAATTTAAAAATAACTATCTCCTCTGGAGGTACTTTTTTTGGATACAGTATGTTGATGCTGGTGGATAAGAAGTCAATCCTTGTGGGTTGAATGGAGTCAGAGGTTTGCTCTCAGACTACAGAACTGTTTTTCTCCTTGCAAAGAACTAGGTGAAACAAAGCAAGAAGAAACTTTGCTCTTATTTAGACACACTCTAAATACCAGAGTTAATGTGTCCAAATAATTAAGAGTAGTTTAAATACATCCTTTCAACCCTCCAGACTGGAGGATGTCACTTATCAGCCAGATGTCTCTCTGCTGTACAAAGTGTGACTATGTTTTATAATGTAAGATGAAGGATGCCCCCAAACAATTAAGAAAAGTTAGTGTTTGCATGGAAGAACGCGATTTTTTTGCGTTCTCCCTTAAAAACTATTTCTGAGCAAGTGCCAACACAAACACATTTTTTCTTCCTAAGGAATCGACTCCTGGTTTTTCAACCCTCATCCTTTTCATTACCTTTGAGACAGAGCCAAAACTGTTTTACCCTTCTGAATTTCAAAATGAGACGACAAAGGTAGGGTTTTGTGTGTGTGTGTGTGTGTGCGCGCGCGCGCAACACCTTTTCACAAAATCGAGCATTCTGATAGATAAAATAATTCCTCTTTTGAACTGACTGAAAATGGTCTCTCTTTCTCTCTACCCCCTGCCTCTTCTCTCTCGTTCTGCAACAGCCCTAAAGTCCCGTTTTGAGGCACTTTATAAATCTGAACACAATTATTGGGGGAGGGGAAAAGAGAAGAAACAGAGGAATAGAGGGTGGAGAGAGAAACAGAAGGCAGGGAAACAGTTAAAGGGGTTCACTCGTTTACCCTTACCAATTACTCCCTCGGCACACATCACAGCATGACGGTCCCGAGTCCCAAGATGCAAGAGAACCACGCACAGATCCGAAGACCGGAGACGGGTTATGCTTCTACGCCAATCATTCGCCTTGTGGTGGGGAGAGGAGGAACACTTCTCAGACAGCACCCAAACTCAGATGGCCGAGCCGGAGCCGAGCCCGGGTGGAGCCGGCGACCCCTCCTCGCCTATTTCCTTCTGCTCCTCCTTCTCCGCGGGCTCAGCAGCCCCCGCGCTAACAGCCAATCGCCGCCGCCCCGCCTCCCGCGGCGTCAGGGGGCGGAGCCTGGCCGCCCCGACTTCTGGGCTCCAGCTGTTGGACAGAGCTGCCTGTGGGCCCAGCGCAGAGCTTCCAGTGGCTCAGACCTTTTCAGTTCTACTGCTTACTTTCACATTACAGTACAGGTTGCCTGCATTTGACAATTTGGTTCATTCTTGTTTTGCTGAAATTCAGTTTAACAGTTCATCTATTTACCAAGACTTGAAACGCTTGGCAATTATTTTTTGGAATGTAAAGGGATCAAATCTAAACATTTCATGTTATTATTTTATAACCAAAAAAAAAAAAAAAAATGAGAACAAGACTACAATTCCAATTTAGCCTTTTTTCTCACTCCTCGACCTTTATTCTCTCCCTCACTCAGTATAATGTGTCTTTGTCCACACACCTGCCAGGCTGTGTTAGCTTAAAACTCATGGCTTAAAAAAAATTTTTTTTTCGCTCCTAAATAAATTCCAACAACATGTCTGATCTCTCAAAACTTCTGAGCAACTAAGTGCTTTGAGAAAGAGAAAGGGCATTTGGTGAAGACAAAACCAATGGTGGCGATAATTCAGACCAAAACCTAATGATCACTGGCTACCAATTTTTTTATCTTATTGAAACAAAATAAAGAGAAGCAAAAACCTCTGCAACTCTCCTGTTTTGTGCCTCTGTCTTCCAGTTTCTCAAATGTGTAGTGAGAGTGAAGAAAACGAAATGATCATACAAATGTTTCACTATTAATGAAGAGCTCACTAAGACAGAAACATGGCACTGACTTAAAAACTCTTCCAGACCAGACTGGAGAGGCCAAACAAGTTCCTTCACCCAGTGAGAAGGTGCCTCTCCCAGACAGGGAGAAACAAGTTCTAGGTGTGGCTTCCTGTGACGGCCAATTCGGGAAATCTTCTACAGGCAAGGGCAAACCTCCAGAGTTTAGTCAACTCAGAGAATAAACCCTGCCTAGCAGAGCAGACTGTCATTTATATGGCCTTTGAAATTCCTGGACCTGGTAGCACTTTTTGCAGCCAAGTGATTGTCTCTAACATAACTTGAGATAGAATAAATTTCCTATCAAGCCAGCCTTCTTGAGGACATTTAATTTAAGTGGGCCTCCCGGAGTTTCCCCAGTCAGCACTGATGCTGTTGTCCCAGTGGAGAGTCTTCCTGGGAGGATGCATATCAGGAAAATTCAGGAAGGGGGATGGTATTTGCAGTCTATTTGGACTGCTTAAATCAGTGGTTTTAACTAGCTACACAGCAGTCAACTGGAGAGCTTGATGTGAAGGCCCCACCCAGGGCAATTAAACTGGAATCTCTGGGGGTGGGGCTCTGAGGTTTTCAGCTGTCCAGGTGATTCTAATCTGCAGCAAGCACTGAGAATGACTGGCTAAAATTTAAATTATTGTCTTAGAGGAACATCTACATTATATTTAAGTAAAAATAAAAATGCAGTACCAAAATAACGTGAATCATTTTGAAATACAACTTATCCTTATATATATTCTTTATATATTTGTATATTTTAATATAAATGTAGAAAATATGTGATAAGGTACACATGAAAATTGTTTACTCAGTGGGGAAGGATGAAAGAGTGAGGGGATATTACTAGCTTTCTATTTGTTTCTGTATCATTTGACTACAGGAGTATGTATCCCATTTATGATTTAAAAATATCTAATTAAATTTTTAAAATTAAAATACTTATGAATGTCATTGCAAATAACCACTATTAAAGTAGGATTCAGTTTGTTCATTTTTGCAAATGTTCCTCTAATATCTAACTTTTCTCCTAAGGATTATTTGCATTTTGTAAAAAAAAAAAAATCCATAAATTTTTTGATTTAACACATTAGCTACCAAAATGTAAGTATTAATTTATACGGTTATTGCCAAACTTAAAATATATTTACTTTGTAATTTCAGAAATATATTTCATTTTTATGTACTTATCTTCTCATGATGTTTTTAAAAAATTAATATTCAAAATATATGATATAGATATAAGGAAATTTCATCTTTTCTAACAAAAAAATTATAATTAGTATCTCAATACTAATGGCTTTATAATTAATTGTCAGGAAACATATGGCATAGTAGTCAAGTACCTAGGTTTGACCTGGATTTAAATCTTAGCTCTGCACATTTTTAGATATGGTTTCATCTCCAAGCCCCATAGGTAAAATGAATCTGATAATATCAACCTCAGTGTTATTAAGATTACATCAAGCCATGCTGCTAAAGTGCTTATGACTATGTAAAGCAAATAACAGCTGCTTATAAGTGATAGTTATCAATTCACTGGCTTCTATTTTTTCCTCTCTTGTCTTAAACATACCCAAAGATTATTACCATGGCAGAAGTGGACTAAAAATTTATCAGAAAACGTTTTTATAAAATAGTAAGCATGATTCTTCTTATGACCGATGACACTTATTGTTATATATATTCATTCTTTCAAGCTATTGCTTTAACATGTAACACATAAGACAATGTTTTGTTTGTTTGCCTCAAAATATTTTACATATACCTGTGTTTCCTAAAGTGACACACAAGCTGATTTTTCATGATTCATAAGCAACCAATTTTTTTTCTGTCCTTGTTACCTGAATGTGACTCAAGCACAGAGAAGTACATTTCCCAGGATCAGCTTTCTGACTAACTTTTGGATCAAAAAAGAGAGATCAATGCCTCAAGCAATAAAGGTTTATTATTTGTAGATGAGCCCTGATTTTAATAAATTAATCACTGGATTTTCTCTCTTTTCTTTCCTTAATATTTACTCAGCACTAACAAAACATTAGTATGTTAGGCACCGTTCTAAGTAGTTTACATCTATTACCTCATTTAATCCTTTTCTAAGGCTTACGAGTTCAGTGTTCATTTAGAGCTGAGAAATCTGACATGCAGAAATAAAGCAACTAGCGCAAGATGGCACATCTAGTAGGTGAAAGCCCTGAGGACCCACATTCTATCTTGGACTATTCAGCATAGCTTTCAATGAATTAGGAAAGTGAATATTAAGCGATTTTTGTTGGGGGAAGGTAAAATGATGCTATGACTATAACTGCCTTGTTAAAAATAAAAATTCTATATTTTTTAGAAACAAGAATATGTCAATATCATTACTACCAATTGTATAATTGGCCTTAATATTATGTGTGTACATTTCTTAAAAAGAGGAATTACATTTCCTTCCCTGTATATCAACTGATTTACTTTCTTCCACATGAGAACAAGTTGGCTTTTAATTTTATAAAATCCCTTTAACTGCAATGATTGCACAGATCATCAAAAGGGGAAGCTCTATAATGGCAGAGAGTCAAGCTGATCTCAGAGTTCTAGATATGTCCATATACCTCTTCTTGATCCGTTTTGTAATGTGATGAAAAAAACTATTAAGTAGCAGAATTCTTCACATGGACCAATGATGACCTTTTATAAAAGATCAGTCCTTTACTTAGACAAAAGTCAGTCCCAGAGCTTTTGTCTGAATTTAGATGTAGTTGAGACAAAGATGTATACATTTTTCTGGATATTATGTATCCAGAATTATTGGCCAGAGAAAGCAGGAGCCTGAGGGCTTTGGAAAGTAGAAGGTGGGTTATAATTTTACCTTGAGAGAAGATGGAATCCAGCCTCTGAGGAATTGCATACAACCTTGTGCCAGAGATGGAAAATGGCCAATGATAAACTCCCTGAGCAGGTATGACTTTAAGAAAGTGATGTCTCATAGTCACTTTTAAGCAGTTTCCTTTTCTGTGGTACTGCATTCTTTGCAAATCAGAGCTTTCCAAACAACAGGCTATGGATGTGCTGCAAGCAAACAATCCCTTGCCACACCACCCCCATTTCTCTTCGCATGGGCAGAGTGGAGAATCGAGGTGGGGGTCTGGAGCTCATCGTGAGCTCATCATGGATAAGAAAACCATGGAGCTGATGAAGAGGTCTGTGATCCAGGTTCCCAAAGAAAACAGCAACTAGCTCAAAGGAATGTTTGTCAGGACTGGTGAGGAGGCTAAGCCAGCACCCCTCCAGGCCTGGTCTCAGTTCTCTCTTTTCACATATTTTGGGTAACTCTCTCCATTGTCAGCTGTGGGGGACTGTTGCACCTTAGCACATATGTTCTGTGAGTTAGAGCTTGACATCAAAAATTGAATTAGATTCAAAATCTATTTACATTATCACAAAGAATTTCAATATTACATTTCTCAGTGAAGTATTTGGTTGAACCATATGCAACTGCCAATATTCAACCAGTTTGACATCTAAAAATGGCAATTTAATATACTTTGACTAATTAAAGGAAAGGCTATTAGAGTTTTAAATATAATTTGAAGTCTTACAAATTCTGATAAGATTGTAAAACTAGTTTCTTATTGATGGTAATTATCAAGAATTTAAAGAAATCATTATATTTGCCCCAAATTTTATGTGGCCATTATGTAGCATTTCGAACATAAAACTTCATATAAAAATGCTCATGGAAACATCCATGTATTGTATAATTCCCTTTCTATGAAATGCCAGAATAGGTAAATCCATAGAGAGAGAAGGTAGCATAGTGGTTGTCAGGGGTTGGGGAGAGAGGGAACAATGGGTAAAAGATTTTTATTTGGGGTGATGAAAATGTTCTGAAATTAGGTAGTGACAAAGGTTGTACAACTCTATTAAAACCACTTAAAATGGGTATTTAAAAGGACAAATTTTATGGTACATGAATTATATCTCTAAAAAATTACATGACAAAGATGTTTATCAAAACAAGCAAAATATACTCAATAAAAATGTTAAATTCATTATAAAGAAATTTTAGGTAAAGTCAAAGTTTTTAATATCTTCCTCAATACTTTGAATTTTAAAATTTATTATAATTCTGTTATATAAAGAAAATGCAATAAAATTTTACACTATCCCCACTCATATAGATCAATTAGTTTATCTCATTGTATTGTACAAATATCATTTTCAACAAATGTTAACACGTGAAAAGTGATGAAAATCTCCACGTTGTATTATCCTCCAACCTTTAATAAAAGTCTTTTATGCTCAAACGTCCTCTTAATA